CCAGAGCCAGTACGAGCACCTTCACGCCAGTCGACTCTCTGACAAATTTCAGTGTAAAAAAAATAATCAATCAGTTTTACATGAAAAAATAAAGTCTATGTTCATAATATTCTACAATTGACTTGGAATTATTTACACCCTGTCATCTCTTGTCTTATACACCACGATCTGTGGGCTGGATCACTACATAAGAAACCAGGATTTCTACACCCGATACCCGTCGGAAAACGACCGTTCGAGATCGTACATGTTGATAATTTGGGACCTTTTGAGACAAGTACCGTGGGTAACAGATACTTGCTGGTACTGGTCGACAATTCGACGAAGTATATTCAGCTATACCCATGCCGATCCACGGATACCGGAGGCGTGGTGAAGCGGCTGATAAAGTTTTGTGATGCACGAGGGATTCCCCGCCGAATAGTGAGTGATCGGGGCACCTATTTCACCAGTAGATCGTTCGAACAGTTCTGTCGACAGCGAGGGATTAGCCACACTCTCAATTCGACCCGTCACCCTTAGGCGAATGGACAAGTTGAGAGAGCGAATCGGACCGTACTTCCATTGCTCAGTATGATTACCGACGAGCAACGGCATTGGGACGTTCGCGTACCCGAATTAGAACGGCATCTTAATTCAGCGGTGAGCAAGGTCAGTGACAAATCTCCTTACGAGTTGCTTCACGGTTACAGTCCACGGTATCATGACGGCGTTTTATTCCACCATAGTCGAACCCGCGACGTCTGGACTGACCCGTGTGTGCTACAGGATCAGGCACGACAATCCATCGAAACAGGTCAGATGAAAATGAAAAAGTGGTACGACCAGCGTCATCACCAGGCGACGACGTACGAAGTCGGAGAGGTCGTGGTGATGCTGCGACAACCGCGGCCGGATCAGAACTCTAAGTTACAGGCGAAGTACCGCGAACGACCTTTGCAAGTCATCGAAGTGTTGCCCGGCGACACATACAGAGTGGCGGAAGTAGCCACCGACGGTCGGGAGGTGTATGCTACTACGGCCCACGTCTCGCAGCTCAAGTCGTGGAAGATTTTACGCGAGGTCGATGAGGAGGTTAACCAATCCGAAGGGGTAAGTGTTGTTGACGAAGTTCAACCCGAGGTCGTAGACACCGGCAACGACACAGTGAGCGGGGCCAGGCCAAGTCGGACCAGGAAACGTCCGGTGTGGCACGAGGATTATCGGTTGGATATGTCGTAAAATTGTATTATTCAGTCGTATTATTTGTTTTATTCACATATGCAGTAGTGTTCCCATAGGGTATACTACATATACGCCGTATACTCTCAAGCTTTTTCTAAAATATCATGGTTATACTACGTATACCCTCAAACAAACCATACAAAATGAAAAAATACGTAATTTTTTTTTAAAACTTAAAAATATAGTATGTTTTTCTTATCCAACGTTCAATAACGACAGTAACAATAGTCACGGGCAGTTGAACAATACGTCGACAAAATAATCGTTATCGGTGGTATTTCCCATAATCGTCGTCGTCGTCGTCGTCGTCGNATTAAAATATTATAACACTATTAGGTTACATCACTATAATAAGGAATTGGTTGGATCAAAAATGAGGATCCGATCAAAATTGACAAAACTTATAACTTTCAAAAATCAATAAGGAACTTGTTAACATGTAATTTTTTTTTTGTAAGTTTTGTAATTTGTTTTTAATACTTGTATTTTGTAAATAAATAATAATAAATTAAATGTAAAATGTAAATACTAAATATTATATAATGAATAATGATAAGTAATCAAATATAACAATTTACATTTGGAAAAATAAAAATTTTTTTTTTTTCTATGCACTTCCAACTTATATTTCTATCTCTTTTGCTTGACGTTCACCCCAGACTTCTCTCTCTATGAGCGGTCCATTAGTTAATATGTCTATGATTGATATCGTTGTTGTATTATCAAAAAATTTTACGTTTTTTGAACTCCGTTATTCGACTTATCTTATCTTTTTTTCATCGCCCTCACTGCTTCATCTGTAAAATGTATTCTTTTTAAAACCCGCTGGTGTGCGGTTCGTACGCTTCGAAAAAGCGTTCACAAAGCGATCGTCTTTGTAGACCGGAGCCGTTCGTTACAACATGGATTTAACAAACCATTTTTTCTCTCAAATTAAATATCGTATTATCGTATATTGTATTGTACATGATATCGGTTTGTCCTTGGTAGCCAAACCTTTAATCATACAAATATGTTTGAACTCATGTCGATGGTGGATCCTACAGAAACGTTTGTCGACGACTTTCGAATACTTACTATATTACAATACCTTTTATGCAATATTCGAGGACTAAATAGTTACTGAATAACAGGATTATATATTTAAAATTCAGCACACAAATTGTGCAACTAGGAGTAATGCTATAAACTATGATAACATATATTAATGAGTTAACTCTTAACTAGTATCATGAGTAGCCTATATTGGTGGGTTGTGATATATTAAACTCAATTATAAAATATGTAACAAAATGTAACAAAATGTCAGAATGTGTTGCTACAAATGCTGTATTAAATATTAGTGCTGATAGTTAAGTTAGCTACTATGAGTATCCTCTATTGGTGGTTAAAATAGTATTAAACACTAATGATTCTGCAACTGTGTAATGTGATATAGGTTGTTCATCGATGGTTTTATGAATATTATTTATTTAATAGACTATAGAGCACACAAATTGTGTTAGCATTATGAGAATTAAAATGCACTGCAATTTTTTTTTACATAAAATTCATATTATAATATATATAATATGTACAATAAGTTCAACCAAAGTGTATTATTTAATGAAAACACAATTCTGTGGTTTGATTTAAATACGTATATTTAAACCTACATACAGGGATGGGCAAGATACTCAAAAATCAGTATCGCTATACTAGATACTTGAATTTGGAGTATCGAGATCATAGATACTCGATACTTACATTTTAAATATTTAGATACTCGATGCATTTGAAAAAATTAGTCATAGCCTACGACGCATAGGATTTTTTTAAATTTTAATCATACACCATTAGATAGGTAGGTTGTGAATCTAGAAAAATGCATTTAACTTTAAATTTCCAAATAATATTAGTTAAGTATAAATATATTATAATAAGTCAACCATTAAATTAAATAAATAAATAATAATAAAATAAAATTATAGATATCATATCGAATAGTATATTACACAACAATAAACGTTAAATAAATTTAACTTTAAAATTTCAAATATTAATTAAGTACAATAGCATAAATATGTTATGATAAGTCAATTATTGTTAAATTACATTAATAAATAAAACAAAAATATAAATTGGTAACATATCATATTCTTATTTCCTTTTAAAAATACTTATTTTTCAAAAGTATTGTCGGATAATTTATTTTATTTATTCCTGGTAGGATTATGATAAAATTATTTTGTGAAATACTCGATACATTGTCTAAAAATGTATCGCAATACCAGATACTCAATACTTCATATAATTGTATCAAGATACAAGATACAATTGTATCGAAGATACTACCCAACTCTGCCTACACAATAATAATAAATAAAAGACTATAGTAATATGTCAAACTCAATAATGAAAGACTATTTAACTGACTATTAATGCTTGATTGAATTTTATAATTTATATACTCTACATTTAATGAGTAACATTCAATTGAATATTGCTAATATAATATTTATGTACCTTTATCTTAATTATATAGCTATGTACATGCATATAATATATTAAAGAAAGAAACTTTATTTAATACAGATCACTTAATATTATGGTATACTATGCATAATGCAATAAAAAAACTAAAATAAATTTTAGTTTTTTTACAACAACAGAAATTGCAATGTATTCTCATTCAATAGCATGATATTGATATCTGTTTTGTTACCTACCTATGCAATAATAGCAATGGTCAGATCATACAAATTTAATCGGTTAAACAATGTTTAATGCAGTATTCTGGTATTTCTTGTCACTAAATACAAACTGCATAAATGCTCAAATGTTTGAACAAGCTTTCATCTAAATAGGTTGTCCCATAGGTGAAGCCGTGAATTAGGCATGTTACGAATGGTAGGTGAGAATGATTCCGGTGCAGACGATGGCTGTTAGACGCAGTAGGGATGATCTATGCTTAAACACGGCCACCCTGATTTTTTCGATTTTTTTTACGTAATTTTTCTAAGTTTTAATGATTATTTTTTTGTCATCGGAATTATTACTGTAAATATAATTTTCGTGGTGTGAACATTATGAAATTATTAATACAAAAATGTGTGAGTTATTTATATAGTATATACTACCATCTGTCCGTATGATTAAGATCTCTGTTTTATCATGCCAAATACAATTACCTATATGCGTTCTTTACTTAATGTACATTGTGCGTGTACAATGTTGGTATATACTACCTACCGAACTACCGAAGTAATCCTATTTCACTTATAGCTGCTAAAAGGCGGGGCCACAATCCACCACAGGTGGATTGCCTTCCTCGTTAGCTGTAGTGTATTGTCTACGATCTAACGAAGTCGGATTGCTTAAATAGGTGGCTAATTTGAATGTTAATCGATTTTCACATGGGGTTCACTATAGTTTCCTCATAGGCGTGCGCAGACTTCAACTTCCGGTCGAGCCTGGATACAATTAGTGCCCCAATACTTATACTGTGCCCCTAATTTTTTTCTAACACTCCTTCATAGTAGATTCTGTTGTAAAATAAAAACAATGTAGTATTTATATCTATACATAGAAATATAGAATCAAGTATTTTATTGCTAATTTTTGGACATATATTTTAAGAGTACATATTTTACAAAGTAAAACTTTGAATTCTTTAACATCAAATGATATAAATACAATTAATAGTTATGTATAAAAAGAACAAAACACATTACCCAACATGTTAAAAAAAAGCTTGGTTTAATAAACAAAAATTCTTTATAGGTACTAAATTAATACATAAAGCATATATAATGTATACATGTGTAATTATGTATAATTTAAAAACAATTATAAATGAATTCTCCTATTTCCCATCATTTTGAATTCGTAAATCACCATGTCAATGTTAATACTAGATGTTAATTCTGATTCAGTAAACATTAATAATAAACTATTAAGTCGGTCTTGTTGCATAGTACTCCTTAATTTATTTTTTACTATTGTTAGTTTTGAAAATACCCGTTCGCAGGAACAACTTGTAACTGGTATTATACTGAATAATTTCAGTACGGTGAAAAATCCATTAAATGATTTTATGTAATTATTTGTTTTCATAAAATCAAGCCATGCATGAATAGATTCATTATTAGTATTAGTATCTGGTTTACCATCAGTAGCTGGTAAATATTTTAATAGTTGTATCTCAGATTGTAATTTCTCTACCGGGACATTTGCAAAATTTGATAATATTGAAATCATTACAGGCGTAGTGTCTAGACGAATCATACTTGCTACAGCTTGAACTAATTGCACAATTTCTTGGTTAAACCTCGAGTTGATGCCAGAAATGAGTTCATCTAACAATTGGTTGTACACAGTTATTTTAAGTTCATTTTTTTTTGTTTTAAAAACAAATTGATTATTTGATGTTTTGTCTATTCGAGTTGACACTTTTCTATTTATTACTTCTGGTACTTGTACACCATTTTTATGACAAAGTTCTACTGACTGTTGATAAATATTTCTAAACTCTTCATCACTATTCCTCATAGCCATCAAGTTTTGTACTAAAGACTGTACACTGTTTACTGCTAGTACAAGATCCATGTTTGGCGACTGTAATAAAGAACTTGTCTTTAATATTATATTTAATATAGGATTCAATAAATACAGCCCAAAAATAAAGTCAAAACTTTTTAATTGATACTTCAAACCCATTCCTTTTGCACACATTTCTGGAACACTACTACTTTCACAAATTTCTTCTATGGCTAAAAGCAAAACTTCATAGTTATTAAGCACTGATTTGACTGCTTCTGCTCGACACGCCCAGCGAGTAATAGAACACGACTTTAATGTAAGTAACTTAATTCCTACATCTTTGGATATTTTTTCTAAAATTGCATGCCTCATTGCACTACTTTCAATAAAATTGTAGGTAAATTGTATAGTTCCAAAAAAATTGAATACTAATTTATTTCTTTTGGAATTTTTTGATTTATCACATACTGAATAAACAAGTGCTAAGTTTAGACAGTGAGCATAACAGTGAATATATTTAATATTTGAATTTTGTTCTTTACATTTTGTCTGCACGCCTCCTATTTTACCAGCCATAGTTGAAGCACCATCAAAGCAAACTGATAAAACTGAATGCCAATCTTTTCCCATAAGTATCAATACATCATGAAGACAGTCAAAAATAGCCTGAGCTGTAACAGATTGCATTCGTTTCAATGTAATATAAGTTTCAACTGGTCTATTTTTTTTTTCATCAAAATATCGAAAAACAATTGACAATTGTTCAAAATGACCAACATCTGTAGTCTCATCAGCCATTATTGATATGAACGAATTTTGTAGGTTGTTTTTTATATTTCGTAAAATAACATTTTTAATTGATGTTATTAAATCATTCTGTATTCTGTTACTTGTGTACAAAGCATTTTTTGGAGCCTCTTGTAAATGGTCTTGAAGAACAACATCATATTTTGTCAGTAAGATTACTAATTCCTTAAAAAGTCCTTGATTGCAACTATCAGATTTTTCATCATGACCACGAAATGGCCTACCACTCTTTCCTAAACAAATTACAATATCAATGATACGATTCATAAATTCTCTGTTTTTCAAACGATCTTTTTCTTTTCTACTAATTTCTTCAAGACGATTCTTATCGAGCACACAGTCAATTGACTTCAAATTAATAAAATCAGTTAATGCTTTTGCACTGTTTAAGTGACATTTAGATGATTGATGTTTTTTGAATGCATCAATAGCTCGATACCACGCTTTAAAACCATTACTACTAAATGTTGATTCACTGTAGCTGCTATTTAATTCATTACCTTTAAAGCAGCGACAAGGGAAACAAAATGCCTTGTCAGAAGCATCACTATACTCTAACCAATCAAAAATATCATACCAGTTTTTCTGAAATGACCTTTTTTTAGAGTTTTGAAGTGACCGTGGATAAAGATCTAATATAGGCTTGTAACGTCCTTTCAAAATTCGATTTTGGAACTCTAAGCGATCTTTTGAAAATGGATTAACCGGATCATATACATTCACCATATTAACTTAAAACAAAAAAAATATAGTTAATAAATATATAATATAATTAATAAGCTACTAAAAATACATACCATCATCACTATATAGTTCCTTATTTTCACTTTGTTTTGAACTGTTTAATATAGAATCTGTTGTATTTTCTGCACTAGCTGTCGACAGAAACATTAAAACCATAACAAAATTAAAATTTGTTAAATTGATTGTCTTATAATAAAAATACATACTATCATCACTATGTAGTTCCTTATTTTCACTTTTCTTTGAACTTTCGAATATGGAATCTGTTGTATTATCTGCACTAGCTGTTACAGAAACATTAAAACCATATAAAAAATTTAAGTTTATTAAATTTATTGTTTTATAATAAAAATACATACCATCATCACTATGTAGTTCCTTATTTTCAATTTTCTTTGTGCTGTCAGATATAGAATCTGTTGTATTTTCTGCACTAGCTGTTGACAGAAACATTAAAACCATAACAAAATTAAAATTTGTTAAATTGATTGTCTTATAATAAAAATACATACTATCATCACTATGTAGTTCCTTATTTTCACTTTTCTTTGAACTTTCGAATATGGAATCTGTTGTATTATCTGCACTAGCTGTTACAGAAACATTAAAACCATATAAAAAATTTAAGTTTATTAAATTTATTGTTTTATAATAAAAATACATACCATCATCACTATGTAGTTCCTTATTTTCAATTTTCTTTGTGCTGTCAGATATAGAATCTGTTATATTTTCTGCACTAGCTGTTGACAGAAACAGAGTTATTGAGTTATTATTATTATTATAAAAAAAATTTGTATATTATAATTTAAACTAATGTGTCAAAAAACTGAGGGGCAGTTGCCCGTAGTGCCCTCCCCCCCAAGATTACGCCTGTTCTATTATTTAAAATAACTCATTACATTAATTAAATTTTTCTGAGGTCTGAGTCTATCTAGACTCTTGATAAATTATTTATTTCTTACATTAATAACTATTAAGAAATTTATTAGGTACTTACAACTTTGAAAATTGGATGTGCTTGATGAAAAATAATTTTTTATTGAACATTTACTTTTAATTTTTAATAGTTCTGCTTCTTTACAGGCTTTACGTTTTCTCTTTTCACAACCACTTCGTTGACTTGACATGTTAAAGTTCTTTGTTGAATACAATTTACATAACACCCGATGTATTAACAAGAATAATATTAAATATAATAAGGTCTGATACTCTGATCATATTATTTCGCGGCACTATAGTATAAAAATATTAAAACGGTAAACACGGACACACGGTACACTGAACAGAAAAGTGACAAATCACAAATGACAACAGTAAACAGACCGATTAGATTATTGAGGGGACCGTTTATGGTGTTTCATTGAAACTTGAAAGCGAATAATTATAAACGCATGGGTTTTTCCGTGGACAGTGTGTAGGTATGCGACATGCGTCCACGAGAGCTTGCTGGTGCAGGTCCGCATTCCGCTTATCTTAAAACGATTTAGGTACCTCGTATAATGTATATTAGAAAATAATCATTTATTATAGTCATAGTACCCACATAATATTTCGTACAGAATAAACGTGATCTAATGATAGCTAGGTAAACACAAAATATATTTTAAATTATATTTCACAATCATGAAAAATAAAATTTTAATGATTTCCACGGGCATATTAAAATATATATAGACATTTTACTATGCCCCAAAAAAGTTCCGGTCGAGCCGGGGCACGCCCGGCTCGCCCCGTGCGCACGCCTATGAGTTTCCTATACACCATACAATTTTGATTTGTATTGAACTATTTATAGGCATATTACATTTTCGATTATTATTTGTTTTTTTTAAACTAAAGTCGATAAAAAAATTTTCGCTCTGTCAAAAAATTTGAAAACGTAATAGGTACAGGGTTCCTTGTAAGCTGTTGTTAATGGAAATTAAAAAAAGTTGAGCGTAAATCCACAATAATTTTTTATGAGCCTTTAAACTTAGAATTTTGACAAAATTCGTAAAAATCACGAAAATTAGCAAATTATATTTCGTAAGAAATTCATGACAATTTTTCTATTTATATCTAAGATTTAAAAATTGAATACAAGATTCCTTACAAGTTTGTTAAGTTTTTTTTTACCTTTATCAAAAAAGTGTCTCCCGGAAAGTCAAATTAAATTTTTATGAGCGTTTGAAGTTGAAAGTTTTACAACATTAGCTCGATTTCTTTTGTAGCAATTTTCTTATTTTGTTGTAGGTAATTCAAAAACAAATCACTCTACACACTTGAAATTTACACCAAATGTTTATGTCATCAGTCCATATACTTGATAAAAATATTTCGAATAGTTTTAAGCTGTTGACAGACATTTTCATTTTTTCATTTTCTTTTCTATAAATGTCAATTAAATTTTATTAGTTGGGTCAAGAATCATGAAAATCTAATACAAGACACTTGATAACTTGTGACAAGAGTAGTTGAAAAATACATAGGGATGATTTTTTTATAAGCATTCAAAGTCAAATGTTGACAATATTTATTAAATTGAAAATGATTTTGTAGTTTAATTAAAAAATGTATACAATTTTTAATTTTTATAGCTAAGGATTGAAAATTCAAAAAAAAGGTTCTACTTAAGCAGTTTTTTCCGTAAATAAAAAATCTAAAAAATATATGAATACAGTTATTTTTTACAGACAGTTAAGTTCAAATTTAAGATTGCATATTATGACACAAAGAATAACGTTTATCATTTTGTTGTAGGTAATTCGGTTCCAAAACAGCCCAATTGTGCATAATTATATTTAATTTTTTTCCAGCATCACTGATAATTTAAAAATAATATTAATTGAACTTACCGGCTACCATATTAATAATAAGTAATAACAATAAAAATAATCCTAGACTGACACACCGTCTCGGCTCAGAATCGTTTTTCGTGTACTATATGGTATGGCATCATTGAATTCAAATTTAATACTATCCATTACAGCGACCTCCCCTTCTCACTTTTTTTTAAGTTAAGAGAAATCTTGCATAACATTTTCAAATCTTAGATTTTAAAAGAAAAATTTTCATGAATTTCTTACTCAAAATAATTTGCAAATTGTCGTGAATTTTACGGCTCCGTAGAAAAGATTTGATAAAAAAATTAAAACTAAATTTTAAAACATCAGTTTTTTTTATACTTGTAAATAAAAACAATGTAATTTTAGGTTATAAAAACGTGATTAAGAACTTTAGGCCCCACTATTGGAATTCTTATTTTTTAATGCATTATATGATCTTCGAAAAAATGAACCGTGGCTAATTGTTCGTGTAAATAACCCGTGTGCACTAAGTACCAACTAATTCAAATCTATGTGTTTTGATCATTTGGGCAGTCGAACAGCACGCGGGTCAACCGCGACATTTCGCCGTCGATTTTTCAACCGCGGCAGTTTCCACAGCTGAACTGCGTAATGTGTGAACGCGTATCAGGCGGTTGCATTAAAATCAAACAATTTGAATTTGTTCGGCGGTTCAACCGCTGGGGCTCTTATTATTATTTACCACGACGTTATAAACAATTATATCGTTATTATTTTATTCACAACCATAATTTTTGTAAGTTAATTTCATTTGGTTACTTTGTAAAGTTATAAAAATTAGTGATAATAATTGTTTAATTTTGACAGTTTCGTATACGCTTATAACTTACATAAAATCAAAATATTATAAAATACTAAATAGCCAACGTAGCAGCACTGCAGGTGCATTTTAATTTAAAGTTCGGTAATAGGTCACATATTATTTTACTCTTAAAAAAAATTGAAATACGTCTACAGTAAATTTGCATGATTGTCTGAAGTGACACTCTTGAAGGAATTCATCATAATCCCAAAAATTCGCAAACTATTCTCAGTTTGAAATTTATATACAATTTTTTTTTCATAACTTACATTAGAAAATTGTATTAAAGGTTCACTACAATTTTACAGTTTTTCTAACTTTAACGAAGAAAAAATTTTTAAATAAAATAAAATACAAATAAATGAAATAATAAATTAATAAATTAATAAATAATAATAAATTGAATATAAAAAGGTAATAATAACCATACATGATAAAAAGTTTCAAAATATTTTCAAAACTATTGAGCTATTTATAGCCATGCATTTTTTCTAATTTTATAAAATTGTTTTTTAATTATTATCGATGATAAATCTTTTACTCTACAAAAAAGCTTTGAATTCAAGGTTCGTTAAAAGTTGTATTGAAAGCAGTTCATAAATATTAATTTTATAAGAACGATAATTTTTCATGGGCATTTAAAATTAAAATGTTGACAAAATTCGTTGAAACTTGATCAATGCACAGAGTTGAACCCACTTGTCTACCTTTTTATAATTTACTTTACACATACAATTTAAAAAACACCAACCAATTTTCAGTTTATGATTTATAATACCTATGATTTTTTGAGATGCCCCGCCTCCTTGAGACCACCAAAATCAAGTAGGTACTTTACTTATTATTAATGTCTTAAATTTATAAGATACAGACAATAATTTTAGCTCATGAGTAATAGTTATTGGAAACAAGATAATAAATAGAGAACAAACATTTTCAAAATAGAGTTTACTAGGTAAATGCCAATAAAAAGGAACTTCTAAAATAAAAAGTTAAAAAAAATAATAATAATAAATACATATTTGTATGTATAATATTATACGTTTGTAACTTATGAACAGTTACGTTTTCCGGACTCCATCTGCTTGGAAAACCTTTTTTCCGGTACTTTGTTCTTTTTTGTTCTTTTCAACTATCAACGACAACAATGATGGACTAAGTGCAACCGGGTGGGCCCGTGGCGGGCGAGGCTGCTAACCAATCTCATCATCATCTCAAGACATCCATCGGTCGTCGTTGTAACGTATAACTCTCCCTTGGTCTCCCGTATTACAAATGTAGTTGTCACCGTTTTGTTTTCTTTCTTTCTACTCCCACATTCTTCTTTCCTAAATATAACTAAAACATGTTTCAAGGTTTTTTTTGTACGTACGTAAAATCAATGACAAAGTAAGATGTATGATGTATGTAATATTTGGATTCTGTGGTGCCACGTTCTCTTGCAAATTGATTGCATATGTAAAATATAAAACACATAATTAACTTAAACTCAATCTCATTATTTAGTTACTATTTCTGAAAGTGTCACCTCTATCCTCTTATTCATACGGTTATTATTTTATTAGTTTTCACTAACTAAATTGTTTAACGCCTAAAATCTCCACCGACCTGACCTTAGGCTTAGGACCAACACTCGGTGAGACCTATAGGTCATGAATTAAGTGTTCCTCTTATTTCATGGGTGGAAGTAAGTCGCTATAAAAAAGACTGTAACCTCACAGAGGATATCAAAAATCAGAGTTCTAATGGATTCAGACATTAATCTCGTTTACAATTTTGTTCATAATATTATGTGTTTTTAGTATACCTCCCCGAAATTAACTCGGATAATCGAGGTTAAACTGTATTACAATTCAATAGGTAATAGGTAATCATTATTCTAGAAAAGCACAAAATATGTTTTATAAGAAAACCCGAAACCGCATAATATATATCAGCCAACTGGTACTGCACTACTGCGACTTCGTTAGCAACACGAATAATATGATTATCGACCACGACAGCATAAAAAATAATGAATAATGATATTTTTATTTATTCACTACCGCCATCATTTCTGTTTGTTAATATGATTTAGATAAGTTGTATGTTCTGCGCCGATATAGCTCCTACAACTCGGCGGTTGGCTATACCGACTTGCGATGTATAGGACGTGCGTTTACCCCAAAAATGAGAACAAGACTAGTTTAATTTTATGATTACATATATTTCATATATTATTTATTCAAATAAGTTGGGCGCCCAAGGTTATGTATACAACTAAATGATCTGAAATGATCGCGCAATAAATTCAATAAGAGACACTTTTAAATACACAAATATGACCTGGCTGTACCATCCGTGCAGCGTGACTGCACAGTGCACAACCACTCCACTCCACAAAAAACAGAACGTACCGGTACCGAGCTCGACCGTATTTGCGAACGGCGACGGCCAGCGGCGATAAGTAGGGGACGGAGGATGCTCTAGAGTCTAGAGC